ATTTAGTTTGTTGTTTATTGGTAAACACTGGGTAGTTGATGCACTATTAAGATCATTAAATTAGTTTATTTGCATAGTAATTTTCTAAGTATACAGTTTATAATAACATGGTAATTAGGTGACTGTAAAAATAAAGTTGGCAATTTTTTGGCAAATAGTGGGTAATTGAGATACTATTGAACTGTATTTGTAATAGAATTACCCACTAAAATTAGTTTAACTACACAGTATTTTTAATATGTTCTTACCAAGTAATTACATGGTAAATTATTGTAATTGCCAAGTAATTGTGTAGTAAAATGATATTACTTACCATGTAAATACTAGGTAAATGCATGGTATTTAGGGGACTTTAAAAGAAAGGGTTACCAAATTTACATATGTAAAAAAGTTAAGAACTCACCTGGCTTGCTAATCACCTCTGTCCACGCTGGCACAAATGATTCTTTATGTGTCCTTCTTTGGCTTCGTAAAATAGTTGTGGTCACTTGAACACTGCTTACGAAGTTTCCCAAATTTACGTAGTGTAAAAAAAAAACAACTTTCAGCAAACCCAAGGTTCAACACGCTGCCCTGAGGGCGTCCTGAGGCGTCTCCAGCTGAGAGAAGACGCTCCTCTTGCTAAATCCCTCTACACGGGGCTATCATGCTACAGAGTAGAGGTCTATAAAGTACTTGAAAAAAATAACTAAGTAAACGTAAAAATACGTTAACAGAAAATGACTTTGGTAAAAATAAATGTCACTGATGAGAAAACTACTTAAGTAAAAGTCATAAAACTGTTCTCAAAAAATTGGGAAAGTAGAAGTAAAAGTACTTTACGCTCTCTAAAAAATAAACTTAAATTTACAGAACCAAATTGGCCAAGTTGATTTAAATTGGTTTTTCTTTAAAATAAAACATGTATATCGCCTCAAAATCGCTCTACTAGGTTTAGTGGAAATAGTCGATATGATTTAGTTGAGTAAATTCAACACTTTATTTTTTTAGAGTGCATAAACAACTCCTTTCATGATGAGTTCAGACAGATTTAATTTATAAAAAGTAACTAGGTGTTAAACTTTAAAGTAAAGAAGTAAAAGTATAATTTTTAGGTTTTAAAAGTAACTAAGCAAAAGTAAACATCATGATTTAAAAAAAAATACTTGGTAAAATTACAAATCCTCAAAAAAATTACTTGAGTACTGTAACAAAGTAAATGTACTTAGTAACTATAAACCTCTGTTACAGAGGTTACCAGACCATGCTCCTGGCAAATACCTGATTAGAAATCAAAAGCCTGAGTTCACCTTGTGGGTTATCCTGCTATCAATCAGCTTGCTTCATTCCAACTGTTTGTATGTGTCTCAGAACTGGGAGGAGGAGTGGGATAAAATWGTAAAGATGGCATCTCCGGTGTCTAGTAGCAACGGCCTCCAGTTTGACTCTCTGGAGGAGATTCACATCTTCATCCTGTCCAACATTCTTCGCAGACCCATCATCGTTATTGCAGGTACTTTCTGTTAATCACCTTAGAGTGTGTTTGTTAGACTTTAAATACTGATATCTTATAGCATATTATTTAGGTTGCTCATGGTCAGAGCTGTTGTCACTTCAGTTATAACTTCTATAGTGATTATTATTATTATTATTATTATTATTATTATTATTATTATTATTATTATTATTTAACAGATCAGGTTGTCAGAAGTATGAAATCTGGCTCCTCCATCTCTCCTTTGAACGTTGGAGGGATTTATCTACCTTTACAATGGAAGCCAGCAGATTGCTACAAATACCCAATAGTCCTTGGCTACGACTCCCAGCACTTCGCACCCCTCATCACCGTCAAAGACAGCGGTCCAGGTAGGAAAGAGATTGAAACGATATGTTTGTGGAAGTTTTTTGTTTTTCTTCCTTATCTAATGTTTCGGTCTGAACTGATCCTCCAGAGATTCGAGCGGTTCCACTGATCAACCCGAAGCGAGTGAGCTTTGAGGAGCTGAAGGTGCACTTCCTAATGGAGAAAGAGCAGCCTCAGAAAGAGCGGCTTCTTAACGACTACCTGCTCATCATAGAGATCCCTGTCATAGGCATGGGCCACGACACCATGAAAGTTGCACGGTATGTGTAGAATCTAAAACCTGTTCCTTAAAATGATAAAATGGGAGAAAATAGTGTTTTAAGACCCTTTTTTAAAAGAGAACACTGACTTGTTACGACGTTAGACGATATTTGATACTTCGACTGTAAAACAAAGACTAAAAATACTGTCTAGTTTTTATAAATTAAAAAAATATATTGTCATACGGAAGGCGCCTCAAAGGACATCGGGTTAACTGTGACGTTTACTAGGTTTGCCGATGTGAGACTGAAAGTTCCCTTTAATAAGACTTGCTTAAGAAAATAAAATTGCYAACATGTTTTATTGAAGTTATTAAGCACGTGGTGTGTGTTTCTGCCCTCAGACTGGATGAGGGGAACCTTCCTGAAGACATGAACCTGATGGAGGACTACCTGCAGCTCGTCAACCAYGAGTTTCAGCGCTGGCAGGAGGACAAGGAGCAAGCCTGGGCCGCCCAGCCTCAGCGCCCCCCACCGTTCTCCGTCTCTCAGCTCTCCCTCATCGAGATCCGCTGCGCCACGCCGCGGTGCACCTTCTACGTCTCCGTGGACACGCAGCCTCATTGCCACGAATGCTTCGAGAAGCGACAGGCCACCACGGGGGGAGGGGTGAGGACAGAAGGGGTGGTTCAGACCAAGGGCGTGCAGGGAGGGCTGGGGGTGACGGGAGGATCAGAGGCCGAGGTGAGCTCCAGAGGGGCTCGAAGCAGTAGTCCACCGTGCTCTTCCTCTGGGAGAGGGGTGGTCCTGTCCAGTCCCCGCTCGGCCCCGCCCACCGCTCCCAGCCTCAGTCTTTACAGCGAAACTCATGCCATGAAGTGCAAAACACCCGGCTGCCTCTTTACTCTCAGTGTGGAGCATGAAGGACTTTGCGAGCGCTGCTACAACTCCAGACAGAACCACGGACCCCCCGGTGCGGGKACAGTTGCTACAGGGCTCCCCGGCCCCAATGGGGTACCCGTCGTTCCCCACCCGGCTTCAGGCCCTGGCTGGACCCAGTGGGGGGGTTGCGAGACAGAGACGGAGCGATGCAGCATGTGCCGACAGGAGGCGTTYAGGATATTCAACGGCCTGTGTCCTCCCTGCATGCAGAGGCAGCTGGCTCCAGAGAGGGGYGAGCCGCAGCAGAGCAACTCCAGGACTGAGGCTTCTGCTTGGAGCCAGGCTAGAGACACTGAGCAGCCATGCCTCACGCTAACCCCGGGACACACGTCAGCCTGGCAGGCCCCTCCTGCCCGGCCCTGTAAAAGATCCGGCTGCCAGTTTTTTGGGACACCAGAGAAACTGGGTTTCTGCACTATTTGCTATGTATACTATCAGACCAACCACCGTAAGTCAAAACACTGTTTTTCCACRTGTGCAACATGTCACTGTTGTTGTGAATCTTTGCTTACAGTGTATCACTTGTGTTTGCCCCCGTGTGATCCAGACCTGACGCCTCCTCCGCCTGCCCCGGTCCAGAGCAGGTACGGTTTGGAGGCAGGCTTCCAGAATGCCACACGGTGTCGTGGGTCCGGATGTGGCTCAGCTGGGAAGGCGATGCTAGAGGGCTACTGTGAYAAGTGCTACGTCAAAGAGCAGACTGCACGTCTCAACCAAGTGGTGCACAGGACTCCTTACTCTCCYCCTCTGGTAGGTTTCTGACACATCATCTTCAACCAGAGATGGGGACTTGTGACTCGGACTTGGACTTGAGTCACACTTAAGTCTCTACTATTAGAGACTTAGACTTGACTTGGACCCTAAAGACTTGAGACTTGACTTGGACTTGTGGTTTGAGACTCACGAACAATGCAAGTCTGTTCACTGCCCGGCTCACGATTCTCACTCCCTCACACATCCATGCTCCACTCCGCTCCCCCTCACCTGAGAACAGGAGGGGCCAGCGCTGTCCAGTGTTAATGACGTATACCCTACGTGACAAACAGAGCTTCAGTGAGACTTTAGTCAATGCCTTGACAAGAGACTTGGCAAAATGTGAAGTGTGTGGAGTCCAAATCCACAATTTGTTTTTGTGATGACTTGTGCAGCCCTTTTACTTTAAAGCGATCCATGATTTGTTGTAACATTAGACTTTATTTGATAAACAAATATTTTAACTGTAAAATAAAGACTGTAAAAATACTGTAGGATGTTTAGTTTTCATAATTTTTGAAAATATATTTTAACACAGAATTTATTTATTTAATTTATTTACACAGAAAACCTGTTAGCCTCTGCGCTAGCGCCCACGCTATATTGCCTTATATGTATTAGCTTGGCGCTAGCG